TTTGCATATTCCAAAGAATGTTTTCTTCTGCCGAGTCTTTTTGACAGGTAAGCCACTCATAATCAATATCAACCATGATTTGTGAGAAATTCCATTGTCTTTTTAGTAAGGTATGCTTTGGCAATCATGAAATCTCTGCTAGAATATATTAGATTTGTTGTTGTTGAAAGGAAATTGTCATCTAATGCTATTGGAAATGATATATCTATTGAAGAGATAGTTTCAAGCTTTTACTAATCTGTGGTACATCTATTTCCAATTTTCAATGCTAGATGTCTAACTTTGTGGTTGCCAAAATTTGAGCGTCACAAATAACATTTAGCAAACTAATAGGTTTCATCCAATATAGAGCTGGGGTTGTTTTATTATGAAACACTCAAAATTGAGAGGAAAAGAGCGTTTTTCCCTCTTTATTCATTTATTTCATTTTTGGGTAAATTACATTGACACTCCCTGAGATTTATATTTATTACAGTTTTTCCTCACCCTTTGGAAATTACATTTCCCCCCTGAGATTTAAAGTTCAATTACAGATTTCCCCTCAGACCTTTTAATTATTTTAAATACCAATTTTACCCTCATTGGGTAAATTACATTAACACCCCTCACATTTTAGAAATTACAATCCTCTCCCTAAGGTTTAAAGTAGCATTATCAATTGCTCTCTCGGTTAGTATTAGTTGGAAAACAAATTTATTGAAAAAAAAATATTAACTGGAAAAAAATTAATTGAAAAAAAAAATTTTGTTAGTAAAATTTTTAAATTTTTGTTTAAAAATTAACGTAAACTCATTTTTTGAATTTACGTTTTTTTCTCAAATTTACAAACTGAGACAACCATTTATAAACCAAAAAAATTATTAAACAAGTTTTTATGACAGTTTTTAAAATTTTTGTAAATAGAAATTAAAAACTGAAAATGAAATGGTTATCAAACAGGTCTCAGATGGTAAAAATATTGTAAAATTAACAAATAATTAAATAAGTTACCAACGTAAGAAATGACTTATCAAAAGATTCTATGTATGGTTTGATTTTTAGAAAAAAAAAATTTTAATTTAAAATTAATTTGGTTAAGAAATAAAAAATAAAAAAAAAATATTTTTTTAAACGAAATGAAAATTATTTTTTTATTTTTTATTTATTAACCAAATTAATTTTTATTTTTTTTAAAAAAATTCTAAAAGTCAAACCATACATAGCCTAAGAATCTTTTGATAAGTCATTATGTTGGTAACTTATTTAATCATTTGTTAATTTTACGACATTTTTACCATCTGAAGCCTGCTTGGTAACCATTTCGTTTTTAGTTTTCAATTTATATTTACAAAAATTTTCAAAACTGTCATGAAAACTTGTTTGATAATTTTTTTGGTTTATAAATGGTTGTCTCAGTTTGTAAATTTGAGGAAAAAACATAAATTTAAAAAATGAGTTTATGTTGGTTTTTAAACAAAAATTTAAAAATTTTACTAACAAAATTTTTTTTTCAATTAATTTTTTTCTTCAATGAATTTTTTTTCCAACTAATACTAACCCAGGGGGCAATTGGTAATATTACTTTAAATCTTTGGAAGGGGATTGTAATTTTTAAAATATGAGGGGTGTCAATGTAATTTACCCAATGAGGATAAAATTGGTATTTAAAAAAATTAAAAGGGCTGAGGGGGAATCTGTAATGAAACTTTCAACCTCAAGGGGGAGATGTAATTTTTAAAAGGTGAAGGAAGAACTGTAATAAATATAAACCTCAGGGGGCGCCAGTGTAATTTACTCTTTATTTTTTGTTTTGTCCCCTGTTCTGTTGTGATGGTTGTGTTTCCTTCTTCTTCGTCTTCTTATTTTTTCCTTCTTTTTTTTTTTTTTTTTTTTTGTGTTTTTTGGATGACTAAACAAAAAAATAACAATAAACTAAATTCTGGTGCATAATTGCTTTGACGTTCATGTTTGTTTTTTGTTTTTGCTTTTTTGTTTGAAATGTTTAATAGACTAGATGAAGCCAAATATCTCATATATAAAAAAGAAAGAATCAACTCAAAGAGCATATATTCTTCTCAACTAAGATTCCCAAAAACTAGAAAGCAAAACTCTTAGTTGAAAAGGGAATCATACATCTGCAAAAATCCTAGGTTCCACAATGCATAAAACTGGATTCAATGCAATTTCATCAATCATCCCACAACACCCTTCTAAAAAACTTGTTTCTTTTTTCCTATGGAGTTTCAATTTCCCTCATTCTCAATCCTTTGTACCTTATTCCTTTTTGTATTCATTGTTCTGAAAGCAGGTAAGAGATCCAAAACCAATAACTCAGCTTCAAATCTCCCCCCGGGACCACGGAAGCTACCCCTCATAGGAAACTTGCACCAGCTTGCCGGCTCTTTACCTCACCATGCCCTACGAGACTTGGCCAACAAACATGGACCCCTGATGAGCCTACAATTCGGTGAAGTCCCCACTGTTATAATTTCTTCACCAGAAATTGCTAAGGAAGTGATGAAAACACACGATCTCATCTTTGCAACAAGGCCTCAGATTCTTGCTACAAAGATTATGACCTATGGTTTTACTAACATTGCCTTTGCTCCATATGGTGAATATTGGAGACAAATAAGGAAAATTTGCACATTGGAGCTTCTGAGTGCAAAGCGTGTTTAATTATTCCGATCAATTAGAGAAGAAGAGTCATCAAATTTCATCAGATGGATCGCTTCGAAGGCAGGATCACCCATCAATCTGACTCAGAAAATTTACTCATCAGCATACACCATCACTTCGAGGGCTGCTTTTGGTAATAAGACTAAGGACCAAGAATCGTACATATTGATTATGGAGGAAACTGTAAAGGTTGCATCAGGGTTCTACATTGTTGATTTTTATCCTTCTGCTGAATGGCTTCATTTGATCAGCGGAATAAAGTCCAAAATTGAGAAGCTGCAAAAAGAGGCAGATAGGATACTCGGAAACATCATCAACGAACATATAGCGGGCAAGGCGACAGAGACTGGCAAGGATAGAGCAGATGAAGATCTGGTTGATGCTCTTTTAAAATATCATGATCACGGGACAAATGAATTTTCCTTGACTATTGACAACATCAAAGCGGTTATCCAGGTTAGGATTGCACCCAAGGTTTTAAAAAGCGGCCGCAACTGTTACGTAACGCCATTACGTAACGGTTGTGGTGGTTACCGCCACCCGCTACGACCGCTTTTGCAGTGTGATTGAGTTTCACAGGTGTGTCGGCCGTAGCGGCTGCCGTAGCGATCGTAACGGTGCTGTAACAGCCGTAACGGCCTGTTACGCACCGTTACGTATCAACAAATCAATAACATGTTCTTCATTTTCCCTCTTATCTCTCTCTCTATCTCTTGCTCCTCAATTTTCTCTTTTTATCTTCCCTCTTCTCTCTATCCATCTTTCCCTATTTTCAGCTTTTTCTTTTTCGTTTTTTTTTCGAAAGAAGTAGTTTGGAACCATTACGTAACAGTACATAACAGGCCGTTACAACCGACACATCCGTGAATCTCAATCACACCGCAAAGCGGCTGTAGCAGGTGGTAACGGTTACGGCCGCTTTTTAAGATGGAGGAGTAAGAGATAGAGAGAGAAGATGAAAGATGAAGAACATGTTATTGATTTGTTGATTTAGATCATACTTAAAAATTTACAAACATTGATAAATATTTATTTTAAAACCCAATAAATATGATTATGAAAAAAAAATACGCATTTCGGTAAATTTTTTTCAAATTGTATGAAAAATAAAAAAAATTCACGATTTCGGTTACCACAATCGTTACGCTACGACCTTTACATCTCGTAACCGCGCCACTGCCACCGTTACAGCGATCGTAACCGCTTTTCAAAACCTTTGCACCTCAAATAAATCACTAAAGTCCATTATCATATTGAAGTTTCGTATTATTCCTTTGTAACTGACCAAGTCTCCAAGTTGTTTTTTTCTTTTTGATAACTCGATATCCAGTCCATTGGGCTGACTAAACTGGGGATCAATCTCACTGTCCACTTTCACGGGTTCAAATTAAAGTCTAGATAAAGCCCCATATAGACTGGCCTCGAGAAATTGTTTGCATCTAGGAGGTTTTATCTGCCAGAACCAAGCCTTTGAAAAGGCCGATGTCCTTTATGTAGGATTGTTATTTTCATTTAAAGGGAAAATTACACAAAAGAGAGCAGAAATAACTAAACCTTGGATTTTTAACTTCTTCAATTTAAATCCGAGTCTTTTAAAGCTTTCTCAATCTCAGCTATCCATCCATCTCCATTTAAAGGGAGCAAAAATTGTGCAACACATATGAAATTTGTAAAACAAAGTATAAACGCAGTGGATGAAAAAATTATAGTCGTACCTTTTTCTACAGAGTCTGAATTGAAGGATCTCGTGGGTAAATCACGTGCTTCCTAAATATGATCAATCAACCCAGCAATGGAGTGATATTACAGAATGAATATCACCCACACAAGTCACAGTGCAAAATGTCTCTTGATCGTTGTATTTTTTGGAGAGTGTCAGTATATGGGAAAAACATACGACATACGTTGTTTTTCTCTTAATCACCTATATCCCATATCATATCAAATATATAGGATAATATATCATCTATCCATATCAGTTGATATGATAGATATGGATATTCTAAGTGGTTATCCAAGTAAGTTTTGAATTCAAATTCAAACTTACATGGATAAGGTTCAAAAGGTTCAAAGGGTCATGCCACATGGGCGCCCAATTTTTAACATCTCCCACTCGGACATGAGGTGGCATGACACTGCCACATCTCTATCTCAATCTCCCCAAAAAATGAACAATCTCATACTAGCCACTACACCGTGCGACTGCTGAGAACACCTGCATGTGAGAGCTCTATACTAGAAACTCAAAATGAACCAGCATAGAGACATCAACCCCAAAAAAAGAAATAGTGTCTCATATACCCTAGACCCATCTAATTACACCGGTCCAAAAAACATCTCTA